CAATCTATAGAGAATCACAAAGCTTTTATAGAAACAAAAGTTTTAAGAAGACAAAATTGAATGATCCGCGGCAGCTTAATTGTAAAAATGATGATACTACCGATCTTCCAGCAACCATACCATGTACAAATATTAAAGTAAAGTCTTTATATCTAACAAGTCCCAATACTCAATTTTTTTTACGAAATATTACGAATTTTTGGCTTCGTTGCTGGTTTTTTTTAAATGCCACTGATCGTGTCATATTTTTTATTATTTTTTTCTTTTGTTTTACGTAAAAAAGAGTTTAATATTTTAAAAAATCGCAGGATATTATACACATTTTTTAAAAAACTTCCCATTTAAATTCTATTGCACGAAAAAGAAAGAAAAAATGATAAAAAATTTCAAATTCATATTTCAGTATGGTTTCAAATGTTAATGAGGAAGGATGTATGATTTTTCATGCACATTTTGTATTTCCCTATAAGGTAACTTGAGTAGTGTCGGCTAACACAAATGTTAATAAAAGTAATATATGTTGACAAATTTCAACAATTTAAATTATCTCATTTATATGTTTATATTATCATATCATACGTTATAATATTTATTTCAAAAATAAAAAAGATATTCGAATCCGGTCATAAAAATATTTTTTTGTTTTTTCCAAAACCCTTCAAATATTTTTTTACTTAGGTAATATATTAAGTTTTAAAAATTATTCTCACAAATAGAGATAGAATTAAGAAGTGTATATAAAATTTGTATTTAAAAAATAATATTTGATTGTATTTTAGATATTATTTTCTAATTCCCTCTTCAAATTTTTTCTTTACTACGTATTTATATCAATATTTAATAATTATCTTTCATTAATTATATCTTCAACTTGACACCACAGTTACTTCCCATATCTTGAGTTAACTTACCCTATGAGAAAAAAAAAGTTGTTCACTCAAAAATAATGAAATGCTTTCAGTAACATATAAAACATTGAAGGTTGTGCTTGTTGTTTTTCCGCTGTTTCAAGAATTTTAAAATAATTCTGAATGAAAATATTAATATATTTTCTTGATTTTTCAAATATATTTTTAGAATTTTATCTGTTTAAAAAAACCCCTTCCATTCCCATTTAAAAAAACCCTATAAAAGAAGATCGTGCTTTCAAGTTTCTCTCTCATAATTGGGACTTGTTAGATATAAAGACATTAATTAAAGCAATAACGCCATTATTAAAAAAGTTGAAAGTAAACCAGAAAACTTACACATTGTTAATATAAGCCCCGAGGAAGAAAACAATAATTCATGCTAAAAAGAGTTTTGGATCGTCATTCACAGCGGAACTTAAGTTTAATAATAACAAAATTTTCAAAATTGAAGGAAATTGAGTTCTTTTGATTTAAAAAACTCACTCTCTGTGAGTTATGAATGCAGGAGTATAATAAATAGTCTCTTTCTTGTTTTTTTTTTGCTTTTTACCAAGTATGTAATTATTTTGCTTTTAAAAATGTATATGTCAGTCGTGTGTACTTATTGATAATTCCCTATATAGTAGTGTGCATATACAGTTAAATTGCATATATTGTTATTATGTGTGCATGCTATTGCATGCCTCAAATAAGTAAAAAACAGAAAAAAATTTTAAAATTTTGGATTTTTTACGGCTTTTTTTTTTAAGAATTATTTCAGGAATTTTATTGGCCTATACGCCTCTCTTAACATTTTCAGGCTATTGTGTTAAAAATTTTTATCAAAATAACTCAAATAGAAAAAAAAAACTGATTTTTTAATAACAAATTTTTTAATTTTTCAAAATATGGAAAATAATGGTTACTTTTTAAATCTTTCATTATCCAGTAGCAGTTCATAAAAAAAATTTCAGGATCGTTTCCAGAATTTATTTGTTATTTAAAATTTAATTTAAATTTAGTGAATTCTTTAATGAATACTCGTATTTATTATTTGGGTTCTTAAATAAATCGAAGATTTATAATTTATAATAATTAAATTTTGTCTTTTGTTCATAATGGTTAGTATAAAATAAAGATGGTTTTAAAAGAATAATACTAAAGTTTATTAAAAACAAAAATTGCTTAATAATTTGGTAAAATTTAATGTATTTTTTAAAGATTTTATTGCATGCATATTTAAATAAAATATAATAATGCATTTGATTCGTGGCGCTGAAGGTTGTATTTCTATAAGAAACGGTAATTTCTATAAAAAGCGGAACGTTTTTCCAAAGAACGAGGTAACAATAAAGCATATTGTTAACTTAAAGAAAAATGCATATTATTAGATTTAAGATTTATGTTAGGTAGTTAATAAAAAAAGTGAATTTTTTTTCAAAAAGAATTCTTATTATGCATGTATTTACTATTTTTGTTTTACCTAAAAAACAAAATAAATTACCTAAACCCTGTTTTGTTACCTACAATTTATTATTCTTGTTTGTAAGAACATGAAATTTCATTTTGTTATTTAATATAGTTGGGCTAAACCAATTGTTTGTATTGTAGCATCCCTTCAACAAGTGAAAATACTGCTTTTAAATAATACATATGTATACCTACCACACTATTAAAATTGTTTTCATTCATATACGAAACTGTTTCTAGGACTGCATATATTTAGGATGAACGATTTGTGCTATCTTTGAAATAAAGCAAAAATTAATTTATAGAGTTAAATAAATTTAAAGTTAACATAATGCTCGATTTTAAGGGTTAATTGCGTGAGTATATAAATAATTATATTTTTTAATGTTATAGGATTTACCGTTAGCTTTCTGCGTTTTTAGAAATTTGGAAAAAATTGTGGTGTCAAAAATTCAAATTTTACAAATTTCAAAAGGTGATAAATGAGAGGGGGTGGAGATGGAAAAAAAATTTGCTTCGAACAAAAAGAACAATTTGCTAGTGTCTAAAAGCTGATAAAATTGCAGGCTCACAGAACCTAGAAGAAAAATGTGATAATAAGTTTGGATAAACCGGATTATAGATAAAGGAAAATTTTAACGGCTATTTTGTTTTTTTAAAGTTAAACTATAGTATACCGCGCTGAGGGAAGCAAGCCACTGCCTTTCTGCGTTTGTGAAATTTCAAAAATGCTTATTGTTTCACTGCAATAAATAGTTTGGGGGGTATAAATTCTTGAGGGGGGAAATAGGTAAAAATTTTGTTTTACGGACATAAGTTTCTAGTAAAGATCAATGAAAATAAACACAAAAGACTAAAAATGTACCTCTGTTCTGCCAATGTTTGGTTTCCAGGAATTGATTTTTTAAGTACAGATTTATCTTGTTGCTACATCTTTGTATTTTTAAAGTCTTTTGTTAAAACTAAAATAATGTTTCGTTTGAGTTAAAAGAAAATATTACAAATTATAATTCAATCACAAATTATAATGACATTGCGAAAATTAGAAGAACATATTCAAAATTTAAAAAATTTAAATCACTTTATTAACATTAATTTTTAATTAAATCGCTTTATTAACATCTATTGCTCTAAATAAACTAAAAATAAAAACTATTGTTTACTTGTTGATATATTTCAACGACAGAGTAAATCTAGAAAAACGTTTGTTATCAAAAGCCGTAATGCCATTACGAAAATTTCAGATACCTCTATTCAAAACTTGAGATTTGAGAGACAGACGTCTGTGATAAACCTTGCAAAAACTTTAAAAAGAGAAACAATGACAAAATTTCTCTCAAAAAGAAAAAAATTCTCACTTAAAAAAAAAAATAAACCAGACAGAAAACTTGAAAAAACTTTTAAAAACTTTATAAATAGGTAATAAACGTGAAATTTCAAAGTATTTATCAAACATAAACAAATATTTTTTGGTTATACCAACAACCGAAAATTTTGATTTTGGATTATAAAAGTGTGAAACTTTGAAAAAACGATTCGTTAACCCTTTGTGGTTATTTTAATTTATTTTTAATTGAAATATTTTGAAAAAAAAAATTATTGTTGATGAAAATTTTTTTTTTCAAAAAAAAACCTTCAGACATATCCAAGAAAAACATATGTTTCGACAGCTGTAAGATTTGAAAAGTTTTTAAAACACTAAATTTTACTTTACAAAACGTGAAAAAACTTTAAACTTTGAGAAAATAAGAATGTCATCATTTTCTCTCACTTTTGTTCAAAAACTATTACCCCAGACAGTTTGCATACAAAAAACTTTATAAAGTTTTAAAGTTTTTAAAAACTTTCTTATCCCAGACACACCTATTATAAACCACATGAAATATATTATATCACATTGAATATTTTTGTATTATATGTAAAAAAATTGATACTGTTAGCAATTTAAAAAAAAAATTATTTATACACATTATACATATTTATGAAATAACTCACATTTTTTCCTTTTTTTCGCTGCTTTTATTCACTTTAGTAAATTAACCACCTTTGTTAGAAAAAGTTCTTTCTCATAATTCACATTATTAGGAAAAAACATTCATTAATAATTGTAATATTTTATTATCTTTGCTCACATTTAAATATATTGCGATATAACCATTTTTTATTTTTTTTTTATTTACTTTAATTTGTTACCTGCAAAAATTTTTTGGCATCAAATATTTGCAGGTATTAATTTTTATCAGCATGGAACCAAATCCTGGAATAGAATCACTTGTTTAAATTCAGAGCGTAAATAAATTGCAGCTGGTTAATAAACACACACACCTTCCTTTGAGAAAACGTAAGAAAACGGACAAATGGATGACAGAAGACAACTAGAGGCTCTTTCTCAAAATGTTTATAAAAATATCCAAACTTGCCCCTGTTAGGAGCCCGTTTAATACCAACCAATGCAAATAAGGATTATTATTTTGAGCAGATCATAGTTAACGATTTTCAAAATTTTGTTAAATTTAATGATTTAATTTATGTTAACACAAAATTAAAAATTTTCCAAAAACTTAATGTAAGTGTACTAAGTGTAAGTGTAAAACTAAAGAACATTGTTTTATTTGACATGAACAAGACTATACAAAATCTTTAAGTTCTAAAATCAGGGACGCTACAATTAAAATTTCAATACTCATCATCATCATCATCAGTAGCTTTACAGCCCGATATGAGCCCTAGCTTGATTAACAATTCTCCTCCACCCTTCTCGATCCGTTGTTAGTTGCTGCCAATTTGTTATATTCATTTTACGAAAATCTTCTGCTACGTCGTCCTTCCATTTCAACCTTGGTCTTCCAATGTTTCTTTGAAAAAGTGGTCTTGCTTCGAAAATTCTTTTTGGAGCCCTTGATTCATCCATTCGATTGAGATGTCCCAGCCACCTTAATCTTTGAGATTTGATGAATCTTACTATATCCTCATTTTTATAAGGTTCATTAGTTCTTGATTTGACCTTATTTCATACTCATTATATTCGTTCAATCTTGGTCCAAAAAATTTTCCGCAGTATCTTTCTTTCAAAGGTTCTCAGATTATTTATATCATATTGCGTTAATGACCACGTTTCAGCACTGTAGCTTAAAATAGGGCATAATGTTGTTTTATATAGTTGTGTTTTGCACGATTTTGATAGAATTTTGGATTTAAATAAATGTGCCATGGAGTAGTAAGCCCTGTTAGCTGTTAATATCTTTTGTTTTATGTCTTTATGTATGTCATTACTAGCATTTATTTGCGCACCAAGGTATGTAAAATTTTCAATTATTTCAAAATTGTATCCCATCATGCTTATAGTTTGGTCACTTCTTCGTAGTTGGGATCTTGATATCAACATATATTTGGTTTTTTCTTCATTTTCAAACCCACAATTGCAGCGTTTTCGGTAAGTTCGACAAAAGCTTCAATTAGATGTCTTTTATTTCTGGACATCAGGACTATATCATCTGCGTAGGCACACATTTGATAGGAACGTGTAAATATAGTGCCACCATTATTTAATTGTTTTATTGAATGATGCAACATCAGATTGAATATTATTGAAGAGATTTGACAAGTTGTTCAAAGATTTGTCGAATTTTATTTCTTTTGATTGAGTCAAACGCTTGTTTGAAATCTGTGAAAACCATGTGTAGATCGATGTTGTATTCTGCACATTTTTCCATTTTCTGTCTGACGTAAAAAATTTGGTCAACAGTTGATTTTTGTTCTCTGAAACCACATTGATAATCGGTTAAGATTCCTTCTGAATAAACTTTTAGTCTTCTAGCAATTATAGCAGCTAGAATCTTATACGTGACGTTTAGCAGCGTTATTCCCCTATAATTTTGACAATCCGTTTTAATACCCTTTTTGTGTATGGGCATGATTATACCATTCCGCCATTCATCTTTTAAAATACAAATTTTAAAATTGTAAATTTTTAAATACAAATTTTCACCCCCCGCCTTGAACATTTCTGCCGCTATTGTATCTTCTCCAGTTGCTTTGTTATCCTTTAATTTTAATATTGCATTTACGGTTTCGTCATATTCCGGTATCTCAACTCCCGTTTCTTCGCTAAAAATTTCTAGCTCATTACTATAGTTTGGTTGATCCCCATTCATATTATACAACTCACTGAAATATTCCTTCCACCTGCTTACTATTTCCGCCTCTTCTGTAAGAGTGGTTCCATTTTTATCTTTTATATTTGTTATAGTATGTTGAAACCCTTTTCTTTGCATTTTTATTTTCCTATAGAAATCTCTAACGTTTCTTTGATTAAAATCTTTTTCTATTTGTTCAACATTTTTTTTCAAGGCTTGCTTCATTTTTCTCTTGCATATTTGATTTGCTATCCTTCTTTTTTGCTTGTATTTATTATGCGCCAATCTCGTTTTTCTTTGCATCCACATAATTCTAGCATCGTTCCTCTCTTTTATTGCATCCTCACATTCTTCATCTTTTAACTCCTAGACATTCTTCAGCAGCCCGAATTAAATCATTCTTTGTATTATTCCACATTTCTTCAATATTCACTTCTCCTGATACTTCTTCTGTAGAGGGGTTTTCAAATTTTCTTCTGTAAATTTCTCTTATTTGTTCATCTTTCAATTTTTCCACATCCCACCTTTTTCTTCTATCACTGCCCGATTTTTCGATTTTACCAATTTTATGTTTCAATTTTATAACAGTAATATAGTGATCACTATCACATTTTAGTTGATCGATATACCCTAACATCTTGGATACAATTCATTCTTCTTTTGTTAATTAATACGTGATCAATTTGATTCGTTCTATCTGTACCTGGTATTATCCACGTGCCTCTGTGAATACTCTTGTGGGGAAAATGTGTACTCATTATATACATATTTGTGCTTTCAGCTAGCTGGCACAAACGAAAACCATTTGCCGGCGTTTCATTATGCAATGAATGATGGCCCTCCACCGTTTCGACAAAATCTTCCCTTCCGATTTTCGCATTCATATCACCGAGTAGTATTACCGTATCGTACTTATTTATTTTATTGCATACATCTTCCAGCTTATTATAAAAGTTGTCTTTGTTTATATCTTCATCTTCTTCTGTTGGTGCGTATGCATTTATTATAGATATATTGTTAAATTTTCCTTTAATTCTTAATTTGCATATGCGTTTGCCTACTGCCAACCCAAAAACCAACACCAGCATGGCCTGATTTTTCGATATCTCCAGAATAATACAAATCAAAATTTCTTTTCAATTTTTTCTTCCTGCTTCCATCTTAGTTCCTGAAGTGCAACTATGTTAAATTTATATTTCTCCACTTTCAACCCCTTGCCACTTCCATCATTTTTGCTGGTTGCAGAAGTGTCCTAATGTTCTACGTTCCTAATTTTATTTTATTTTCCAAATCATTGTAATTTTTTCTTTGCTGAGGTCTGTTTCTGCGTAATCCATCCAGGCTCCGAGGCATGTTGTAATCTTCCATGACAATTAATTTTCACTATGTGGAATGTCAGCCCTACGCTAGCTAGACTGTCTATTTGAATCCCCAACAGTCAGGGTGATCTAGTTATTATCCCTAGATACTAGGTCGCCAGAGCCTCGTTTGTCTTGACAGGGGCCGCCACGAGTAGGTGAGGATGACATTTGAGTCGAGAGGCTATGTGTTACGCATCATGATTCCTTACCCCCCATTTTTTCAATACTATTGAAAAATTTCAATACTAATATTTGGAAATAAAATACTTTACATTAGAACCTTCACTCTTATCTCAAAAAATATCGAGGTAGTAAGGTGTCACAATTATTGGGGTTTACTTATTGATAGAAAGCTCAGCATAGATGAACATATGCAGGATATACAAACCAGTCCTGCCCCGTAAGTATGTATTCTCGCCAGATTACGAAAATTTTCAGATAAAAAGGATGCGTAAACTGCAAAGTTTCTCTTTGCAGTTTACGCATCCTACATCTTATCAAATCTTACTTATCTAAATTCTATTTGGAGTAGAGCTCCACAAATCTATCTCGAAAAAGTTGAAGTTTTGTTAAAAACAGCAATAAAAATAATTTATTATTATCGTGTTTTTTATCCCACAAATATGCTGTATATACAGATACCGTATATACAAATGCTGTATATACAAATATGCTGTATATGTATATGTATGAAAACTGTCAAAATGGCTAGTAAAATAAATTGTGGGAAATGTAAAAAAATAAAAAAAAATAAAAAAGATAAAATAATTAGATGTGATGATGATTGTCAGAAATGGTTTCATCACACATGCGGAGGAACATCAATTGAAGAATACTATGAAATCCAACAAAATATGGACAAATTTTGGCTTTGCAATCTGTGCCATGAAAAGCGGCAGAAAAGGAAATTGATCGGACTAACTTCGACACCGAGCCTACCTGTTGCCAGTACTGAAGAAATTGATGCAAATAACAACCACTTCTCCCAAAAGTTGGATAAAATTATTGTGCAACTAACATCACATGAAAGCAAACTTTTAGATCTAAAAAAATTAAGCATCATCGAAAATAAATTGTCTGAACTACAAAAAGTAGTAAAAGTGTTTAAGCAAACAATGGATACAATTATTAATGAAAATATTGTTTTGAGAAATGAAAATGACATACTTAGATCGGAAATCGAAAAAAACTCTATCACAATCGAAAACATTAAGCAAGAAAAGTATTCGAAAGTCTTAGAAATATCAGGAATTAACACTAACAACAAAACTTACCCAGTCATTATAGTGTCAAAGGTATTAAATGAACTGAACGTTGAATTAAAGTTAGATGACATAAGGAATGCTTATCTAGAGTCGCACCAGTCAACAAATTCAGGTGAGCCTCCTAAAATAGTTTTTAAAGTAAAATATATTGAAATCAAAAAAAGAATTTATAAAGCAAAAAGAACCAAAAAATTGCATCAGATAAAATTGTTCAGAATCCGTCTGGTTTTAATTCAGGAACAGTTTATATTAATGAAAAGCTAACCAAGTATTTTTTCTATTTAAAAAAGCAAGAGATCTTAAAAGTTGGGGTGAAGTAAAATTTGCATGGGTTAAACATAGTAGAGTGTATATTAGAATAAGTGAAAAAAAGTAAAATTAAAAAGATTTTAACAGATAAAGATTTCAATTTTATTAATGAGAAATAATGAATTAGATTTGACTCTACCAACCAATGCAAAATTTATGCTAACAAATAAAGTAGAAAGTGTAAAATTTGAAAATCACAAAAGTTTCAAGATTTTCTATGTTAATGTTAGAAGCATAAAAAATAAATTAGATGACATTAAATATATTCTGGATTGTATAAATGAAACTATTCACGTAATTATTTTCACTGAAATATGGGTTTTAAAAGATAAAATTGATTAATAAATAATAAAAACTACAAAAAAATATTCGTATGTAGAAAGAAGCGCAGAGGTGGTGGAATTGGAATTTTTATTAGAAATTCACTCGATTATAAAATTTTGAATTCTTATAATGACAATATTAACAATATTCTTTCACTCTCAATCAAGTTCGCCTCAAATCCACTATATCTTACTGCAGTTTATAGGCCACCAATAAATGAGAAGCAAAATGTAAAAAACCTGCTAAACGTTCTTGATAATTATCTAGAAAACATAAATAAAAAAAATTCAATTATATTAGGTGATTTCAATTTCAATATACTTAATGATGATGACAATGATTATAAGTTTTGTAACACACTTCCAACTAGAATTTCATCAGGAACTTGTATTGATCATGTACTTAAAAATAACATAACACAAAAAATTATTATAAATATGATTAATTCAAATTTATCAGATCACAATATTTTCTTATTAGAACTTAATCAGGTGATGAAAGTAAACAAAGAAAACCATGTCAAGGTAATTAAAAAAATAAACGTCACTGAAATAAAAAAACAGCTGGCTCTACGTAACATTGATTTCTCATCTAGTGTTGCCGTTGACATATATGGAAATATAGCAGAAAAATTAACAAATTTGATAAAAGAAAACACATCCATCAAAAGTACTGATAAAGATAGTGAATGTAGAGAATTGAAAAAGAATTATTGGCATAAAAAGCTGTTACAAAACGAAGATAATGAAATGAATAAAAACAAATATAGATACTGGCTGAATAAATTCACTGCTACTAAAAGAAAAAAACAAAAAGAATATGATATTAAGAAATTTTTTAAATGTTTGAATAACCCACAAAAAATCTGGAACACTATAAAGGAAGTAATTAATGATAATATTATTATTGAAAAAGAAAATGAGTTCTACAATGGGTGCAAAAATATAAAGGATAAAACAAAAAAAATTACTAGGTTTAATTATTTATACAGCACTATTGGAAAAGAAATGGCTAATAACTTTGATTCGGTTAATTACTACCCCAGAATAAAAACAACCAGTAGATTTAGATTTGAATACATCACAGAAAAAAAAACATTGAAATTAATGGGATCTTTGTCAAATACAAAGAGTGCAGGATGTGACATCTATTAATTAACACATCTATTAATGAAAGTATAGTGCCACATGCACTTAAAGTTACAAAAATTATACCTATATATAAATCTGGAGATAAAAATGATGTTAATAATTTCAGACCGATCTCGCTATCTTCTATCTTCAGTAAAATATTAGAAACGTTTGTAAACACACAGATAACAAAATATTTAACCTATAACATCTTGATTTGCGATAGACAATACGAATTTACTAAGAACTCTAATATTAATGCGGCCTTATTTGATATTATCACTGAAATTCAAGACTCAATTAGCAATAACTACAAGGTTGGATTGGTATTCTTTGATTTAACTAAGGCGTTTGATTCAGTGGATTGTAAAATTACTTTGAAAATAGAAGACAATATACTGAATGTGATGCAATAAGAAGTAAAATTAGGTAGATTGACCATGGGGTAATACAGGGTAGGTCCAACGCTGTTCTGGTGTTACGTCAGTAACTTTACATCAATAATTATAAAATTAAAGGGTAAATCATATTTCTAGTTACAATCTATAGATCTAGTTATAATCTATAAGGGAATAAGCTATGCAGAACTACAAAACATAATCAGCTCGGATTTGAGGTTAATTGAGCACTGGATGTGCTCACATAAATTAAGTGTCAATCTGTTAAAAACCAAATACATGTTGATAAAAAGTAAATCTGAAACCTTAGAAATTAGATATTTTTTTTTTTTTTTCCTTCTTCACTCCTAGAAGGAGTATAGGGCTAGTGCATGATTTCTCATGCACTAGTTTCATAGCGTCATAAAGTTTACTAGGTAGGTGACTAGCCTGCCGTAGTTTTATTTATATTAATTATTTGAGGTTATTAATATTTACTGTTTATTTTTCTTAGTCTTTAGTATCGAATATTATTATTAATAATAATGTTAATAAAATTAGAATATTAGAATATAATATTATTATTATTAATAATATTAGAAAAACACATTATTTTTGCTTAAATAAAAAAATTCGCTCCTGGAGATTGAAGTAACTTTAGTTTAAAACAAAATTAAAATATGTAAATGTTTTCTTTCCAAAATTAAAAACAATAAATTTACGAATTCTGAATTAAACTTAACACTATTGAATAAATATTTCATTTAAATATTAAAATTAATAAAATAAGTGTTGGTTGCGCTTGGTATTGTTTAATCTTTAATATTCTAATTTTCCAACTTTTTTCAAAAATTGATTTTTTAAAAACATAAGAAAAAAACGTACATACATATGTACATATGTAGTTGCTTCTTTACATCGTTTAGTTCATAATGCGATTTCAATGCTGTATAATGTTAATGCATACACTAAAAAAGTAATTATTCAAGAGAAAATTTTAGATTTTTTAATGTAAAGTTGTTTTAAGAATCTTTGCAAAACTTTATTAAAAAAATTCCAAACTTTAATTTTTAAACGATTTTGAGAGATTATTTTTGAAAATTTATTCTTTCAACAAAATGAGTATTTTCAAAAAATATGTGACAGTTTTCTAAACCAATATAATATTTGTTTTTCGTTGTGAATACCTAAATAGCGTACATAACTAATATATAATTAAAAATTTATATTTGAGTTAAACATCAGTAGAAAAGTAAAACAAAAACCAAAATTTTTGTGCACATATTTCACAAAAATTCGTATTCGTTATTATTGTTGCGCTGTTTTTAAGAGAATAAAAGAAGAAACCGCGGGCGAGTACTGGACATACTTCACGTTTATCCACATTCATCGGAAGATCCACACTCATTGGAGGGCGGTCCGGTAAATTCTGTAAATTGGATACTCGGGACTCGAGAATAACCGAGTTAGAGAGTCTTTGTAAGGTGCTACAAAACCAGATCTGCAAATTACAGGCAGATAATGTAGATTTAAAAAATCAAATGAAATCTGCATCAACAGAAAAGAAGAACAACGATGCGGAAGTTATTGTATATGAAACCGACGAGGAAGAACTTGCTAGAGACACTGACTGGATCCTAAAACAGAATAATGTAAAGAAGCGAAAAATGGAAAAGTCTCCTGAAATAAATTCAGAGAGGACAGTTAAAAAAAATAATGAAATCAGCCCTGAAATGAAGGCTGAAAGTCCAAAGAAGTACAAACCTCCTTCAGTTATATTGAGCAACATTGAAAACTACTCCCACATAGCTAAGATTAAAAGAAGAAAGAATAAAGTTTAGGGTAAATATGATGAATAATGAAGTGGCCCCGGTAGCCTAGTGGTAAAACACTAGATTGTAGATATGTAACCAACCGGGGGAGCGTGGGTTCAAATCCCACGGGTGCCGCATTAAAATATAGCTAAAAAATAATATCTAATATCAGTATAAAATTAATATAAAATAATTACCTATAATTCTATATCCAATATGTAAGCAGCAACAAATAAATAATACAAAATATAACCTATCTAAATAATATAATAATACAATAAACATATGTAAAATAAATGACACTGACATCTGACATACAACACCACGTCAACGTCAACATCTGAACGTCAGGGATGGGTATAGCCGCAGCGACATCTGGCGGAAAAAACTGGCGACGTCTTACCACGACGAAAAAATGGTCTTCTACAGTAGGCCAATCACCTGCTTAGACAGTACAAAATAGATTAAACGCAAAACTGGACATAGCCTCGGAAATAAGAACGATCTCACGGTAACGAACATCAGAACGCATATAAGGACAAGAATAGCACAATGGAACGTCCGTACCCTCCGTGAAGCATCAAGGCTTGCACAACTAGAACAACAAATGAATCTCTACAAAATTGACATCCTGGGTATTAGTGAAATGAGGTGGAATGGTCACGGCGAGTCGATCACGGCAAATGGCAACACCCTGGTATATAGTGGGAAAGATAAGGGAGGTGAGAGTGGTGTGGGCATAATCATCAGCAGAAAACTCAAGGCGGCTTTGGAAAAATGGGATCCAATCTCCGATCGGATTATCCAGGCTCGTTTCCGCACTAAAGTCCGACACATCACTGTCATACAATGCTATGCGCCAACAGAAGAAGCCGAGGACGAAAAGAAAGACGACTTCTACGACAAACTCACAGCCACACTGCTTGGAATTCACAAAAGCGACATAGTCATTCTAATGGGTGACCTGAACGCGAAAGTTGGCAGCGACAACAGCGGTCTACAAAAAATTATGGGAACACACGGCATAGGGCGTAGAAACAACAATGGAGAAAGACTGATAGAACTTTGCCAGACCTTCGAACTTAGCATCTGTGGTACCATCTTCCCCCACAACGACATACATAAATATACATGGTCCTCGCCAAATGGCAAAACAAGAAACCAAATTGACCACATATGTATCAGCAGAAGATGGAGGAAATTCATGATGGATGTGAAAAATAGAAGAGGAGCAGATATAGACACCGACCACGAACTGCTGACAGGCGATATCAGACTAAAAATGGAAAGGAAAACATAACACCAGAAACAAGCGCTACAACACACAGAAGCTCCAGAACCCCCAAACTGCTAACAGATATGCCAGTAGACTGCGGGAAAGGCTGCCGCTTGACCAGGAGCACCCATGGGAAGAAATTGTGACGAAGATTCAAGAAACTGCCGAAGAAACACTGGGTAGAGAACAGGGCCAACGAAAAAAATGGATCTCTGACGAGACTTGGGACCTCATCAACAAAAGGAGAAATGCTAAGCAACTAGCGACCACTGAAAACAATAACAGATCTCCACAATATCAGAGCTTAGCAAAGCAAGTTAAGAAGGCCGCTAGAAGGGACAAACGGAGATACCTTGAGCAGATGGCGTCCCAAGCGGAGCAGCACGCCAACCAGAACAACATGCGCAGCTTGCACCGAATAATTGGCAACCTTACCGGGCAAAAAGAAAACACAACACGCCCTGTCGGAGACCGAAATGGCAACCTAGTGACAAATGAGGAGGCCCAGCTGGAAGTATGGAAACAACATTTCGAATCCATTAGCAACATAACATATTCATCCAGCGAAGAAACACATGACAGCAACCCAATCAGAAGACAAGCAAACTTAAGAATTTCTGAAGATCCCCCAAGCATCGGTGAAATAAAGACAGCCATACGAGCACTTAACATAACAGGGCCGCAGGGAGTGATGGTATAACAGCGGAACTTCTTCAGGCGGACGCACAAACTACGGCCCAGCTGCTAGAACCACATATATCCCGAGCTTGGAGTGAAGAAAGTGTTGCGCAGTCATGGAAGAAGGGCCTAATCATCAAGCTACCAAAGAAGGGCAACTTGACTCACTGCGATAATTGGAGAGGCATTACACTACTGAACATATCATACAAGGTCTTGGCAACAATTATCCAGAATCGCTTAAGAGAGAAACTAGAAAATACAATACGTGAAGAACAGGCTGGGTTCCGACCGCATCGGAGTTGTGTCGATAAAGCAAACACACTCCGAATAATAGTCGAGCAATCAATAGAATACAGAACACCACTATACATGCTCTTCGTGGACTTCAAGAAGGCTTTCGACACAATCAGGCGCGATGCGATATGGAAAGCACTCAAAGACAGGGGAACCCCAGACAAAATTATCCGCCTGATCCAAGCACTGTACGCAGAAGCCGAGCTCGCAGTACTACACCGAGGAAAAATAAGCGAGTCTTTCACCACCCAATCAGGAGTCAAGCAGGGTTGCCCGCTGTCGCCGATGCTCTTCACAATTGTGCTGGACAACATCCTACAAGTCGCCTGCTCACAAAGAAGGGGTATAATCTGGAATCTGACTCAACACCTAGAAGATCTGGATTATGCGGATGACATCTGCCTTCTCTCCCACAAGATCAGTGACATGCAGAGCAAATTAAAACATCTTGAACAACTTGCCAGACGTGTGGGTTTAGAAATAAACATCGACAAAACCAAGGCGATGAAAATAAACACTACTAGCACGGCCAGTCTGGAACTCAACAACCAACCAATAGAGTTCGTCAACAGCTTCTGCTACTTGGGCAGCATCATAACACATGGGGGCGGGGCCCAAGAAGATATAGACAACAGACTGAAGAAGGCAAGAGCAGCATTCGGCAGACTGCAACCGATATGGAGAAGCAGCCAGATATCCAGGACAACCAAACTGAGAATATTCAGGGCCTGTGTAAAATCGGTCCTATTGTACGGCAGCGAGACGTGGCTAACATCAAGGTCCCTCGGCCAAAAACTGCAGGTATTTATCAACAAATGCCTCAGAATAATATGCCGAATATTCTGGCCAAATTGGATAAGCAACGAGGACCTCTGGATAATAACAGGCGAAGAACCTATCGGTAGGCAAATTAGTAAAAGAAGGTGGAGATGGATCTAAGAAAACCCGCCAATAACATCGCCAGGATGAGCTTGGAGTGGAACCCACAAGGTTCGAGAAGACCCGGGCGCCCCAGAAACACTTGGCGCAGATCCATAAAGGCAGAACTAACAAAATCAGGTCTAACATGGGGTCAAATCAAGCAGACAGCAAAGAATCGAACGAGATGGAGATGTCAAGTGGAAGCCCTATGCTCCCAAGAGGAGTAAGGAAAAAAAAAAAAAAAAAAAAAATGATGAATAATGACTAATTAAAAGTAAATGTGGAAAATGAAAATGAATACAGATTACCAACAAAAGCTATAAGTAAGGCTAGACTGGAGTGATACACGTATGAGATTAAACTAACAAGGCCAGTTAAAGCTATGGCTAGAAATCTCCATCTATCGTGTGAGCCATAGGATGTAAAAAAGTGCTCATTAGTAAAGGCTTCAAATTTCTAGATGTTGTAAATAAAATCAAAAGGAAAAAAGGAAATGGAAGATATATTTCAGTAAAACTTCCGCTCTTTATGCTATATATTATGTTATGTGTTGTAATCTATAAAATAGAATACTTACAGCATATGAGAGTAAAAGTTGAAGCTCTTAGAAGCAGCAAATCCATTTCG